TCCGAGTTCTTTATAGTTCTTTTCATTGGGGGCTGCAAATCATCATTCTTCTCTCCCCTTTTCTTTCTCCTTCCCTGCTTTTCTTCCTTCTCAAGCACGGGAAGCCCCCAGGGCTTGGCCCACCTCCAGTCCCCGTGAACTTGGGGGTGGGGAGAAAAGGGGGCCCCATGGAGGTCTGTTTCCCTACCCCCCCTCTTCCCTCTTCCCTATTCAGCCAGGACCTGTGGGCAGAATAACCCCTGGCAGAGGGCAGCCTCTCCCCCACCCTTGCCCCACCAGGGAGGGGGTTCAGCTGCTCAAGAACTCCTTTGGGGTCATTCCGGGGGTCCCGCCAAGCAGCCAGGAGGCCCGCTGGAGGAAGCAGGAATGCAGCCGTGGCCCCTTCCTGCCCAAAGGGCTGGAAATGTCCCTCTTGGAGGAGCTGGAAAGTGGCAATACAGCTGTCATTCATGAAGGCTGGCAATGCCAGGGAGATGCCAGGGGAAGGAGGAAGACCATGGAAGCATCCAATGGCTCGCTTGGGAAGGAATGATATGGTCCAATTGGGAGGGGAGGGGGCTGTTAGCTGAGGATGAAGGAGAGTCATTGTCTCACCGATTGAGAAGGTCTCCAGAGGTGGGATCACATCAGGGGTCTCCAAACTTGGTAACTTTAAGACTGGGGGGGACTCAGAACCTGCCGAAGTCGAAACAAGAAGGTGGCACAGTTTTCCTAAGGCTGAAGGGACCTTGGAGGTCTTGTAGTCCAACCCCTTGCTCAAGGCCAACCCCTTGCTCAAGGCAAGACTCCTATCCCAGTCTGACCAACCTCTTCTTGAAAACTTCCAGTGATGGGGCACCTACAGCTCCGTGAGGGGTGGGGAGAAAGAGGTCTTTCATGGCTAGCTAGGGAATTCTGGGAGTTGAAGTCCACCAGTCTTAAAGTTGCCAAGTTTAGAGACCCCTGAATGTCTTTTGCTAGTCTTCTCAGATCTTACAGCTGTTCAGAAGAGACCTTCTCAACATGTGGGACAAGGACTCTTAACCCTAACCCTAATCCTTCCTTCCTTCCTTCCTTCTTCCCTCCCTCTTCTTTCTTTCTTTCTTTCTTTCTTTCTTTCTTTCTTTCTTTCTTTCTTTCTTTCTTTCTTTCTTTCTTTCTTTCTTTCTCCCTCCCCTTCTCTCCTTTCTTCTTTCCTCCCTCCCTCGCTCCCTTCCTTCCTTTCCTGCCTCCCTCCCTCTTCTTTCTTTCTTCCGCCCTTCCTTCCCATCTTGTCAGATGCAAAAGGGCAGGTTCACAGTCCAATTAAATCTATTGATTGCTAAAAGCCCCTGCACAGGAATCTTCTCAACTAATGGCCAGCGCCTGCTAGGAGTTAGATCAGGGGCAAGACCACAGAGGGACATTGGACTTAATTCGCTTGTGGCTATGTAGGGATTCTAAGCTGATTCCTCTTTTAACTTCAGCCCTAGGTTCCTCCACCTCTTCTCCTACTTAGTGCAGTGGTTCCCAAACTTGGCAACTTTAAGACTTGTGGACTTCAACTTCCAGAATTCTCCAGCCAGCTCTGCTGGCTGGAGAATTCTGGGAGTTGAAGTCCACAAGTCTTAAAGTTGCCAAGTTTGGGAACCACTGTGTTAGTGCAAACTAAATTTTTTTATGTGCAAGGTAAGTTGATAGTGAAGTATTGATGGCACTTTATAAATCCTTTGTCAGGCCTGCATTTATATTCCTTTTAGAATTTTGGCCTGCCACACTTTCTCTTATTTCATAATGCTGTTTCTTTAAG